GAGGTGCCCAGCAGGTGCCCTTCTTCATGGAGCTAAACACTCACCTGTCCTAGGATTTAGAGACAGACGCTAAGGGGGTTTGGCAGGAGCTGGTACAGCTGTGGGTCCTGTGCTACCACCTCACCACCATAAGGTGAGCCTGCAGAATGTCTGTGAGGCGTGTGAACCGCACCGGAGCCTGGTGTGTTTTTCCCTCCCCTCCCTCTTCTCCTATCCCCTCTCCTTCCTTTTTTGCTAAGTAACATAATTTACTTGAAAAAAGAAAAGCAAATAGTAATACAGTATATATACTTGGCTTATTATTGTGCCAGGTAGTATGCTAAGGATGTACCATGAATTATCAACGTTAAACTCAAATATTAAATGAGGATGGTACTCATGTCCCCCATTTTTTACAAATTTATTTTTTATTGAGCTACACTGGTGCATAAATTTCAAGTGTACAGCATTGTGAATTGACGTGTGTATGTACCACATGCTCACCACCAGAGGTCTAGTTACCATCCATGATCATACAGTTGAGTCCCTTTCCCGTTTTTACCCTTTTTCCATTCTCCTTCCCGTCTGTGGCCTGCCTCTATAAGTTTGTTTTCATTTTGTTTGTCTATTTGTTTTGTTTTTATTTCTTTATTCCACACACGAGTGAAATCATGCAGTTTCTCTTTTTCCGTCTGACTTAGTTCACTGAGTGTAATACTCTCGGGGTTTATTCATGCTGTCACAAGTGTCAGGATTTCACCTTCTTTATGGCAGGTGGTATTCCGCTGTATGTGTGTGTGTGTATCACAGCACATCTTTTCTATCCACTCATCTCTCAGTAGACACCTAGGTTGTTTGTAAATAATGCTGCTGTAAACACGGGGATGCATATATCTGTATGAATTAGTGTTTTTGTATTCTTTGTATTTTGTATTAGTGTCTTTTGTATTCTGGATAAATATCCAGAAACGGAATAGCTGCATCTTATGGTAGTTCTGTTCTTAAAATGTTGAGGCTGTCCATACTGTTTTCCATAGCTCCTGCACCAATTTACATTCCCACCAACAGCGTACAAGGGTCCCCTTTTCTCCGCATCCTCTCTAACACTGCCCGTTTCTTGTGTCTTGGTAATAGCCATTCTGACAGGTGTGAGGTGATACCTGATTGTGGTTTTGATTTGCATTTCCCTGATTAAGTAGGTTTGCTGAATATCTTTTCTTGTGCCCATTGGCCATCTGTATGTCTTTGGGAATATGTCTATTCGGGTCCTCTGCCCGTTTTTTAATCAGGTTATTTGATTTTTGTTGTTGTTGAGATTGATGAGTTCTTTATATATTTTGGATATTAACCCCTTATAGGATGTGTGATTTGAAAATATTTCTTCCCATTGGTAGGTTGCCTTTTCATTGTGTTGGTAGTTTCCTTTGCTGTGCAGAAGCTTTTCAGTTTGATGTAGTCTTATTTATTTTTGCCTTTATTGCCTTTGCTTTTGGTGTCAAATCCCGCCCCGCCCTCCCCCCCCACCAAAATCATCACCAAGACTGATGCCAGGGAGCCTACTGCCTGTGGTTTCTTCAAGAAGTTTTATGGTTTCAGGTTTTATGTTCCAGTGTTTAGGTTATTTTTTGCATGTAGTGTAAGATAGTGGTCCAGCTGCATTCTTTGGCATGTGGCTGTCCAGTTCAAACCCATCACCATTTATTGAAGAGACTATCCTTTCCTCATTGTAAATTCTTGGCTTCTTTGTCGTAAATGAATTGACCATATATGTGGGGTTTATTTCTGGACTCTCTCTTTGATTTCATTGCTCTGTATGTCTGTTTTTCTACTAGAACCATGTAGTTTTGATTACTCTACCTTTGTAGTAGGGTTTGAAGTCAGTAAGTGTGATGCCTCCGGCTTTGTTCTTTTTTTCTCAGGGTTGCTTTGACTACTTAGGGTCTTTTGTAGTTCCATAAAAGTTTTAGGATATTTTTGTTCTATATCTGTGAAAAACATTATTAGGCTATTAATAGGGATTGCATAGCATCTACAGATTGCTTTAGGTAATGTGGCCATTTTAACAATGCTGTTTCTTCCAGTTTGTGAGGATAGACTATCCTCCCATTTCTTCAGTCTCTTTCATCAATGTCTTACAGTTTTCAGTGTACACATCTTTCACATCCTCAGTTAAATTTATTCCTAGTCATATGTTTTGTTGCAATCATAAATGGGATTTTTTTCTTAATTTCTCTTCTGTTTTTTTTGTTATTAGTGTATAGAAATGCAGCGAGTTTTGTAAATTGATTTTGTATTGGGTGAGCCAGAAAGTTCGTTTGGTTTTTCCCAGATGGCTCTAGTAGCTTTCAGTTGTGTTTAACTTCATTTGAAAAAACTTTCTTAGATTGTGTTATCAGCGTGCATTTAAAAAGGCTTATCAAAATTGGTGAATTTCCTTGTAGCCACTTTAATATTGAAGCTGGAAGGAAATATGCAACATTTTTGGCATATTATGCTTTATTATTTCAGGAAAGGTAAAAGGCAATTGGAACACAAAGTTTTGTGCAGCGTATGGAGAAGGTGCTGTGAGTGATCCAAAGGGTCAAAAGTGGTTTGTGCAGTTTTGTGCTAGAGATTTCGTGCTGGATGATGCTTCACGGTCCGGTAGACCAGTTACAATTGATAGTGATAAAATCCAGACATTGAGAACAATCAATGTTCTAACATGCGGGAGATAGCTGACATAATCAAACTATCCAAATCAGATAAGTTCTTGGTGAAATGAAAATTGTGTTCTATTTTATGGGGGGAGGGAGGGACTCTTTGACCAACCCAATACCCTGCAACTTTACTGTATTTATTTATTATTTCTAATAATTTGGGGTGGAGTATTTAGGGTCTCTATATATAAAGTTATGTCATCTGCAAATACTGACAGCTTTACTTCTTTCCAATCTGAATGCTTTTTATTTCTTTGCTGGTTGCTCTAGCTAGGACTTCAATACTGTGTTAAATAAGAGTGATGAGAGTGGCCATCCTTGTCTTGCTCCTGATCTTAGAGGAAAAGCTTTCAGTTTTTCACTGTTTTGTTTGATATTAACTGTGGGTTTATCATATATGGCCTTCACTGTGTGGAGATAATTTTCTTCTCTACCCATTATGTTGAGAGTTTTTTAAATAAATGTATGTTGAGTCTTAATCAGATCCTTTTCCCGCATCTATTGAGATGCCCCTGTGCTTTTCACCCTTTAATTCGTTAGTGTGGCGTATCCCACGGGTTTGCAGCTGTTGAGCCACCCTCGCAGCTCTTGTATAAACCCCGTCTGATCGTGGCGTGGGATCCTTTTTTGCCTTTGAGTTCATTCAGTGAATTTATTTCAAAGATGGTATTTTTCGGTTCTAACGTTTTTATGTAGTTAGTTCTTTTTTTTTCAGTTCCTGTTTCTGTTTACATTTTATCTTTTCAAGAGTATGTTTATTTACCTCGTGGAGTACAGGTATAGCTCCTTCAAAGACTTGGTGTACGGTCTGAAATAATCTGCCTCATTTTGGTGTCAGTATCTGTCAGTTGTATTTTTTTTCTTGTGCAGCAGGTAATATTACCTTGTTCTTTGAGTGTCAGGTAATTTTGCTTTGTATCCTGGACCTTGAAATGTTATGATATTCAGGCTCTGCGTTTTGTCTGAACCTCTGGGGAATACATTGATAGGTTTGTGTTAGTAGATATTCAAACCTGTTAGTTCAAATGGTAAGGGGGGTTTTTTTGTCGTCTTTCATCATCTCTCTTTCTCCTTTCATCAAACTAGTAATTCCATTCTCGTTCTCCAAGCATTTGCTATATGTTTTGTGTTTGTCTCACACATGAGTAGTTTAGGAGTTAAGCCGAGACTTGTTTGAGTAATCATGCTCTGAAACAGGGAAGCACCTTCTCTAGCTCTCTTTGCCTCGGGGTTTCTCCCATCCTCTCCCTGCTCTTTGGGCCAGAAAGGTGGCGGGGTTGCTATTGGAGTTCTAGCCACATGGGTTGCATCAGAACCTCAGTTTGAAGCCACGAAAAGGGAAGCAAACAAAATAAAACTGGGAACACCCTCAGGTGGTTTGCTTTTCCAAATTTCTAACAGTCTACATGCTTTTGTTCACTTTTTTCAGTCCTTGGGTGGGGTATGGGTACGTGTGTGGAGTTTGGTTTGGAGTTAATAGTTGTAAATGGAAGGGTGAGCTGTTAGGGAATGATGACACATCCCAGTTTGTGTGTTTTTTATTTCTTTTCATTCTGGTTTGTGTAGCTTTGATGGGCGTGTTGGGAAATTGTAATTTACGGAGGTTACTACCTCTGCTACCTTGGTAGTCGGTACTGATTTTCTTCCCTGAATTCAGTTTAACATTTCTTTTCCCCCCATACTGTCTTCTTGACATACGACTGTAGTGAGTAAATAAAAGAAATATACTGTTACTAGTTTTTAGCAGTTTTGCTATCTACAATAAGGTTTGTACTAAAAATTACATAATAAGAATTTTAAGGTTTATACTACAGTAAGGTTTGTACTAAAAATAATAGGAATTTTAAATAAATTAAAGACCTTATATTACGGAAATATCTTGCTCGTGTCATTGTTAACCTATAACATAGGTCAGAAAAATTTAGGATAACGTGACAGTAAATACCAACAAAAAGCATTTTTTCTGCTTTGTAGTTTCAAAGAGGCTTACAACAGCTGGGAGAGAAGTTAACAAAACTTCAACATCTTCATATAAAAAATAGTGTGTTTTTTAAAGCTTTGTCTAGAATAAGGACACAGAGGGTTTTAACTCTGAAATAGCCACATGACTTTGATCAGATGTTTTTCTGTCATTACTAAGGTTGTCCTGAGATTTAAATATTAATTTCTACACACGTGTTGGAGACACTAATTTAATTCTTCCTTTTATCTTTTTATCTCTGGACTGTTTACATTTATTAATGACCGAACAGCTAATGTGTGGGTGATGCTATTCAGACTTTAATACTTCGTAATATTTAACTTGTGATTTCTTTCATTTAGATGGTCTTCTGATCGTTGGTGTTCACTCAGCTAAGTTCCCAAATGAAAAAGTCCTGGATAACATCAGGAGTGCTGTCCTTCGATATGACATCACCCACCCCGTGGTCAATGACGCGGATGCCAGCCTGTGGCAAGAACTAGAGGTGTCCTGCTGGCCCACTCTGCTCATACTTGGGCCCCGTGGGAACATGTTGTTTTCTTTGATTGGGGAGGGACACAAAGATAAATTATTTTTGTATACTTCAATAGCTTTAAAGTATTACAAAGACAGGGGACAGATCAGAGATAACAAAATTGGAATAAAGCTCTATAAAGACACTTTGCCACCCTCGCCACTGCTGTTCCCTGGCAAAGTCACAGTAGACCACGTTTCTAAGAGACTGGTAATAGCAGACACTGGACATCATAGAATTTTGGTCGTCTGGGAGAATGGACAAATTCAGTACAGCATTGGAGGTAAAGTTTGTTTCTAATTATGATATGTAATGTATTTTTAATGAAACAGTTCAAGGAAATGTATTAAAATCGAAATTTATAAACAAGAACTAATCATAGAAGGGCAGTATGCATTGACTTTTAACTTCATGAAATTATATTGGTAATTAATGTGTGGTTTCTGAATTAACCTCTTCTCCCTCAGAAAACAAAGATACCTATAATGCCCTATTCATGTCAAAAGAATGAAGTCTTTAAATCAATACTTTTGAAAGTATATTTGTATATCTTGTTTTTAAGAAACTACCATACTTCTTATATCTTATGAAAGTATCATAGTAAGTCCTCATTTAACATCATCAAAAGGTTCTGCAACTTCACATGAAACGACATAGAACAGAACAAATTTTACAGAGGCTAATGGATATAAAGAAGAGTTCAATTAAGTTCCTATAGAGTGTCATCAGCGTTATAATAAAACAGTGCTGAACATTATTTGAGGATCTACTCTATACTCTATATACATTTTGAATTTTGGACATTTTAAATGGGAGTATTGTATTTAACTTTCCACCAAAATATAGCAATATTTTTATTGTTTTAAGACCAGGACAGTACCCTAGGAACTTCAGACTTAGATTGTAAAATACATAACCTAGGATTTGTATATAATTTTACTTTTCTTTCCTTCCATAAGATTGTAAGCATGCTTCTGGATCATTTACTTAGAGTGTTGCAAAATATAAGTATCATTCAAGCATAGACCATTTAGTTCCACATCTCCCTGGTCATAGATCTGAAAAGAGCTCTTACTTACATCTGCGTAATTAATAAAATCTTAATAATTCTTAATTTATTATTAACATATTAAAGAGAAACGTGATTCATCTCGGCAGTCCTGAGGGTGGTGTTACTCTGTACACCAAGTTATTCCCTTAGCTCTTGAATTTTTTGTTTCTTGGTCATTGCTTTAGTTAGAGTACCTGTGTTTTATGTTGTTTATTTTGTGTAGCAATTTAGTATTTTGGTTTATGACATGCAGTTAGGAGAATTGTTACTCAAAAAGTATCTATTGTAGCAGGTTGAATTTAAATGGTTACAAGAGTTTTTAATAGATTCTATAATTTTCAAAATAGTGTATGCAAATTTTTTTAAACAGAAAGATAATTTCTGTTATTTTGTGGGTCAGATACTATATTTTCCCTCACTTGACAACATGATTATTGATTTTAGAGAGGAAGGGAAGGGGAGAAACATCATTTGGTTGCCTCTCCTATATGCCCCGGCTAGTGACCTAACCCACAACCTAGGCACGTGCCCTGACCAGGAATCGAACCTGTGACCTTTCGGTTAAAATGACAGTGCCCCAACCAACTGAATCACACCAGCAGGGCAAATATTCTTTTTTGTTAAACAGATAACTAGCAGCAAGCTAGCTTTCCCAAATATATTTTTAGGAATGCTCTTATCTTGTAATAAATACATAGTTATTCTAGAATTTTTAAAAAAGAGTTCTGTGGTCAAATATACTCAGGAAACACTGGTCGATGTGATTTAACAGGTTTTTGTTGGTGGTTTCACTGCACGTATTGTGTCCTTTACTCTGCTAATGTACTTCATGAGTAGCAGTACACAGTATCTTTGAATTTTAAGTGACCATAGTTCTGTCCCTTTTTTCCCATGAGAGAACTCTCACCACCAACAATAATAGTATTATTAATAACAATAATAGTAAAACTATTAGTAATAGTAATAATAATAGTAATAATAACATTGGTAATATTAGTAATACATGTATGTCTGGCATTATTCTAAGCACTTTACCTGTGTTAATTTATTTAGACCTTCCAGTGCTGTGAGTTAGGAATATTACCAGTTCCATTTTACAGAAGATAAACTGAGGCACAAAGAACGTTCCCAAGTCATCAGCCTGGAAGATGTAGAGCTGGGATTTAAACCAAGTCTGTTGGGCTTTTGAATTTACATGTTCCTATCCAATACACTATACTGCCTCTCTTAACTAATATCTTGCAGACAAGGGAGTTCTGCAAAGCATAGTTTGGAAATGCTGATCTAGAGGCTTTGAATGGCTTGTCCTCTGGTCAAAGAAATAACAATTGTATTTCATTATGCTCTTGAAACTCCACGTGTATTGCAAAGGCTGAAAAATAGGCCATTAGACCAGAATCACTCTGGCTTGCACAGTGTTTTTGAGATGCTATTTGTGGCAAAGTGAAGTAGTGAATGAAGGATTCCTAACCTAGGGTTCATGGCCTATTAAGAAATGCTTGAGTGGACCTGAGGTCCTAGGTACCCCTTGAGTTATTTGTGACATTTTATGGGTATGTGTATTTTTCTATAAGGAAAATTGATCATTGTACAGTTGAGCCTTCCACAATGTGAGGCTGGGGGTGGCAACCATCCGTGCGGGAGAAAATTCACATGCAACTTTTGACTTCCCCACCAAAAGCCTTACTAATAACATAAACAATCAATGAACACGTGTTTTGTATATTATGTGTTATATACCATGTTCTTACAACAAAGTAAACTAGAGAAATATGTTACTAAGAAAGTCATAAGGAAAATACATTTACAGTATTTATTGAAAAACATTTACACAGGGAACTCCTTTCTATTTATTAGATGGGAATGCTGCCTGATTCATGAATCATTCAAAAAAGCCAATTAGATCTTTAAATTTAAAATAAATGAAAAAAATCCATGTATATACATGGACCCCCCAGTTCAAACCCGTGTTGTTCAAGGGCGATGGCATTATCAAATGAGCATGTCTTCCCAAATTGGTAAATACTGTTCATCTAGATGCTAACAGATTAAAATTATATTTAATTCTCTGGTCTAGGTAAGGGGTAAGAAGATGCTTCTGAGAGGGTTTTCTCCTGATGCGTGCTGGTCGGTTGGGGGCGCTGGTAGCACTGCCCAGGCAGCCCTGCCAGCAGCAGCGTCGTTGCTCTGGGGGAGACAGGAGTCTCGGGAGCATTTTAGTGTTCATTCATGTAGAACGTCACGTTGTTTACATTGAAATCCCAGCTTTACATACAGATTTTATTTTGGGGGCTTTATTAAGTAGAAAAATTTTATCTTACGGTTTATCTTTTAGGACCCAATCCTGGAAGAAAAGATGGAATATTTTCAGAGTCAACTTTTAATTCACCACAGGGCGTAGCCATAAGGAACAATATCATCTATGTGGCAGATACAGAAAACCACCTTATAAGAAAGGTAATTTTCCATTTTAAATAAAGTTTTAGTACTTCTAATCAGAAAGACTGATGCTTGTTGCTACATTAATATTTAATGTGAGGAGGTGATGCTCACATACCTCAGATCTTCCTCGTTCAGCAGTTTTCAGAGGCACTGGGTTTAGATCATTCTTGGGTGTCGTGTTTTGCTGTGTGTCAGCCTGGAGTGGTCTCAGAGAAGAAACTCAATCAAGTCTCTTTTTATGGTCCTTGTTTTCAGAGTCATGTGCCTAATTACCCAAAAGCTCCTCATTTTGTGATTTTTTCCAAACCACTATTTATAAAATGGTGATTTGTCCTTTTTAGTTAAATTTTCTAAAACTGAGAGAAAAAAAAATCATACCATTCCCTGCCTTCCTTCAGTTCTTTTGCTTTGCCTACGGATACTTATCAATTAAAATTTGTTCTATCCTGTGATCAAAGTAATATGTGATCTTGTTTTTAAAAGGTGAATTAACACATAAAGGTAAAAAGTCCCTGATCATTCATTCCAGCACCCCACAGATAACCAACCATTATTAAAATTTGTGTGTTTTCAGAAATTTTGGACTCGTGTGCAAATAAACTTATAGTAAAAAGACTTGACTCTAGACAATCCTTTTTTAAGCAAATGGTGGAATCTTGTGTTCCTAGAGAACCTTCTGCAGTCCTTTTTTAACTTATTTTTTCCATATTAGTCACATGAATGATAGGACTGCATCATATCCATTATAGAAGTATGTAGTTAAACAGTCCTTCGTGATGAGCATTTTAACACTTGACCGTCATCCAATGGTCTTTAAGTGTCCTTTCTGAAAATAAGTAAGTTTATCTAACCCATTCTGCCTAAACATGTTGTTTCAGATACTTCCTTGCTTTTCTTGCTGTTTCTCTATTGACATTTCTGCCCATTTAACAAGGATACCATGTATTATATACGTAATATTCACAGTTCTGTAAATCTCCATGAGAGCACAAAAGCTGTGTTCCTGACCCCTGAACTCCATAGCACCTAGCACTGGTCCTGGCCCAAAGTGAGTGTTCAGTAGATACTTTAGCTGAATGAGTTTCTGAGCAAAGAACATCTTTTTAACGAAGCATTTTCTAAAGTGTATAGATTTTTTTTAATATGAAAGGTGTTACATGGAAAGAGGATTTTTTGGGATTTATTAATTAAAACACATTTAGTTCTTTGAAAGTCTTGGAGACTGTCTTCTCGGAGACTGTAGTATGCTAATACTGTATTGTGAACACACTCGGCTGGGGATGTGTGTGCAGTGGTGTTTCTGAACTTAATTGACCAAGGATCACGTTTTAGGTAGAACTTCTCGTAGGACTAATGCTTTCATGGTATGTACTTTGAGAAAAAGTGGTTTTCTGCTCTTACAAAGTCCTCAGAGGTCAGTATGTATAATGATCTTTTGGGGGTTGTATGCTTCTTTAATTGATCATTGCCTCATAGGTTTCTCCCAGGGTATTGAAGTAGTGAATGTTCACCCTGTAACACTGAGGGAGGACTTGTCTGTTTTCAGTTGTATGTTATTTCTCTTGCTGTGGACCTTACCAGATTTTGAAGTATTGACCACATTTCAAATACTTTTTAACTAGCATAATCACAAATTTAGGTTACCTGAAGTGATTTTTATATTATGTGACTTAGTTCAGTTTCTGCAAAAATTGGAAGTGAAATGAAATTATTATTTCTTGCCCTTTTTAAAATATTTATTGTATTTTACTTTTTAAGACCTCATTTACGAGGATTGATCATAAGCTTACATTTACAGCTCACTTTTCCATGTTGACCTGCCTCTTGTTTAGAATAATTCATTTATTAACTTATTCCTCTTCTTCCTCATTCCCATTTTTTTCTGCACAAACACATCTGCAGGCAGCCATTCTGATGTGTGTAATTCATCTTTTTGTTTATATGACTGTGTAAAACATGCAGTGTTTTGTGTACTTTTTTTTTCCAAAAATTATATATTTTACATAACATTAAATTTCAAGTATAGAAGTCAGGAATTTTTAGTAAATTTAGCAAGTTGAGCGATCATAACCATAAATCATCTTTAGAACATTTTCATGCTCCCAGTAAGAACCTTCACTCCCATTACAGTTAATCCCCGTTCCCACCCACGGCGCTAACCTTAAAGAGACAGAAAGTCTCTTGAACATTTCATACAAATGGAGTCATAACAACATATGGCCTTTTGTGTCTGGCTTCTTTCGTTCTACGTAATATTTTTGAGGTTCACCTATAATTTATTCCTTTGTATTGCTGACTAGCATTCCATTGTATGGATATGTCTCATTGTATTTGTTTATTTGCCAGTTGAAGAACATTTAGGCTGTTTTCTGTTTTTTACTATTATGAATAAATAATTCATGTACAAGATTTGTGTGGACATACTTTTTTATTTTTCTTGGGTCGATACTTAAGTACTCAGATTGTTGAGTCATATGTTTTATATTTTTATTTTAACTTTTTGGGAAACTGCTAAACTGTTTTCCACAGTGGTTACACAATTTTACATTTCTACTCACAATATAGATGGGTTCTAATCTCTCCATATCTTCACCATTACTTGTAAATTGTCCATTTTTTAAATGCTAGCCATCCTATACTAGGAATGAAGGGGTTGCTTGTGCTTTTGACATGCATTTCCCTGAGCGATGATGTCGAGCATCTTCTCCTCTACTTATGGACCACTTGCATGTCCTCCTTGGAGAAGTGTCTATTCAGATTCTTTGCCAATTTTTAAATTGGGTTATTTGTGTTTTTTATTATTGGATTGTAAGAGTTGTTTATATATTCCAGTTACAAATCCCTTATCAAATATATAATTGTCAAATACTTTTTCACATTCTGTGGTTTGCCTTGTTACTTCCTTAATCATGTCTTTGATGCACAAAAAGTTTAAATTTTGGTGATTCCCCAACTTACTGTTTTTTTCTTTCATTGCTTATGCTTTTGGTATCACGTGTAAAACCCATTGCCAGATTCAAGTTCACAGAAATTTACTCATGTTTCTTCCTAAGAGTTTTATAGTTCTGACTCTTACAGTTAGGTCTTTGATGCATTTCGAGGTAATCGTTGTATGTGGTGTGAGGTATGGATCCAGTTCATTCTCCTGCATGTGGATATCCAGTTCTCCCAGAGCCGTTTTTTGAAGAGACTGCTCTTTCTCCACTTGAATAATCATGGCAGACTTGCAGAAAATCAATTAGTCATACATCCATGGTTTTATTTCTGGACTTTCAAGTCTAGTCCCTTGATCTCGACCACACTGCTTTGATTGCTGTAACTTTTAGTAAGTTTTGAAATCATTTAAGCATGTCTTCCCACAGTCTTCTTGTTCAACATTGGCTGGCTATTCTGGGTCCCTTATAATGAATTCCCTATGGATTTTAGGGTCAGCTTATCCATTTCTGCAAGAAACAAATGGCAGCTTTATATTTTCCCTTCTTATTTATATACTTTTTTTTATTATATTGCTGGATTGAATCTTTGTTGTTTTTTAATTATTAGCAATGACAGTGGGTGTTTTGTCATGCTCATAATCATGATGGGAGTGTGTGTGCATTTTCTGCAGTGTTTAATATTTTCTGTAGCTTTGGGGAGAATATTCATGAAGTAAAGAAACTTTATATTCCTAGTCACTAAAGATTATTGTATAATTTTATAAAATAAATTTTCTGCATTTATTGAAGTAGTTGTGTAAATTTTTTGACCTCAGTTTGTTGATATGATGAATTATATTAATAGAGATTCATATGTGAAACCACCATTTTATTCCTAAGGTAAACCTTACCTAATGATAAATTTTTTAAAAGTCAAGTTGGAATTAATTATCTAAAATTATATTTAGTATAAAAATTTATGTATATTAATTAAATGGCCTTATATTTTCTTGTACTATTGTGATCTGTTTTGGAATCAAGGTCACATCTAATCAAATGAGCTAGTTTTCTTTCTTCTTTTTTTCATTTTACTTTTAGAAAAATTTGTCTAGCATAGTAATTAATGTTTCTGAACATTCAGTAGAATGCTCCAGTAACATCACCTGGACCTGGGGCTTTTTGCAAGAGGAATTCTTTGATTATTACATCAATTTCTATGATATATTTCTTTTTTTTTTTTAAGATTTTATTTATTTATTTTTAGAGAGGGAAGGGAGGGGGGAGAGAGAGAGAGAGAGAAACATCCATGTGCGGTTGCTGGGGGTTCTGGCCTGCAACCCAGGAATGTACCCTGGCTGGGAATCGAACCTGGGACACTTTGATTCCCAGCCCGTGCTCAATCCACTGAGCTATGCCAGCCAGGGCAATTTCTATGATATATTTCTTAAATCCGGATTATTTCAAGGGCCTATTCCTAGATGCCTATTGCATTTTTGCAGATTTGAGTTCAGTAAAAATATAGATAATATTACATTAATAATATTCTTTATAATTTCAAGAGATTTTAGAGATGCCACTAAAAATAATGCTAGAGCATATTGCTAAGCTAAATCAGTGTAATTCACCATTGTAAAGGAATCAAAGATAATAACTATGATTACTATATATAGTCAGAAAAATTTAAAACATTTAATACCTATTCATGATAACAATTAGCAAACTTTGCAAGGAATTGGATGTTATGAATATGATAAAGGGCATCTACAATTATAGCTACACTTAATGCAAAACACTGAATGCTTTTCCTCTAAGGTTGGGAATAAGGCAAGGATCCCCACTCTCACCACGCTTACTAAACATTGTACTGGCAGTACTAGCCATTGTAATAAGACAACAGAGGAATAAAAGGTATACAGGCTGCAAAGGAAGAACTGTCTTTATTTGCCAATGGCATGTCATATACGTAGAAAATTCTAAGAAATCTATTGAAAAGCTACTTGAACTAATAAGGGAATTTAGGAAGGTTGCACAATGCAAAGTCAATATAAAAAGATCAACTGTGTTTTTATAAACTACTAATAGTCAATTGGAAATGAAAATTTTAAAATTCTAGTTATAGTAGCAATAAAAACAAAATATTTAGAGTAAGTTTAGATTTAATGAAATACATATAAGACTTGTATAATTTAAACTATAAAGATTGCTGAGAAAAATTAATTCAGTATTGGATTAGAAGGTTCAGTATTAAGATATCAGCTCTCTCCAAATTGATCTTTAAACTCAGTGCAATCCCAGTCAGAACTCCATCAGGCTTTTTTATAGAAAATGGCAAGTGGGTTCCAAAATGCATGAAAATGCAAAGTCAAGGATTTATTACATCTAAGATAATCTTGAAGATAAACAGAGTGAACAGACTTACAGCATTTGATTTCAAGATTTACTGTAACATTACACTAATCAAGACTGTTACTTTCTTAAGAATATATAGATCAATAAGGAAAAAAATGAAGTACCTAGAAGAAATGTCATGCCAAATAACAAAGTTATCTGATTTTCCAAAAAGCATCAAATCTGCCAAGGGGGAAAGAAAAATCATTTTAGCAAATTGTGCTTGAACAACTGGATACCCATATGGGGGTGGGGGGAAGAAACATGACCTCTACCTCACACACAGTATACAAATTCAAGATGTATCACACAGCTAAATTTAAGCACTGAAATCCTAAAGCTTTTAGACAAAAACAGTATCATTATGACTTGCAGGTGGGCAAAGGTTTCCAAAGACAGGACATAAACAAAACCATAAAAGAAAAAAAAAGATAAATTCTAATTTATCAAAATTTAAATTTATCATTAAAATCACTGTTAAAAAAGTGGAAAAACAAGCCACGGGCTATGAAAAATTTCACAAAACATACCTTTGAAGAGATTAGTATCTATGAAATATAAAGGTCCCTACAATTAAAAAATGTGAAGACAACCCAATAAAAAAATGGGTCAAAGATTTGAACAGACATTTTTCAAAAGAAGATGGAAGAATGACCTGTGGTCATTCATATTTCTTTTGTAAATGTATTTCAATTATGCTTGGTGGTAATTGACACACACAGAGCTTAATTACCGATAGAGGTATCATCCATCCACTCATTTTCATAATGACTGATTTTCATTCTTTTACAGGAAAGTGAGGCACAGATCATTATGTAACTTTCTTAAGATCCCACAGCTAGTGAGTCCAGGATCTGGGATTTGAACGCAGGCAGTCCTAGCTCTGCTACACTGTCTTGCCTCTAACGCATAAACTGAAAGCCAGTGCATTCTACTGGAAAAGGGGTTCTTGTTTCACCTCCTGAAACCCTTCCCCCAACATTTCACCATGACAATTTTTAACACAAAAAGTTAAAAGAATTTCGCAGCAAAGACACACACACAGTGCCTGTTGTCAACATTTTACATGCTTGCTTTACCACATACTTCATGCCACTATCACTTTGTCCACCAGCAATGTACGGGAGTCCCAGCTGCACTTACCCTTAGCACAGTTCATACTTAAGATGAGATCAACACCACTTCTGGTAGAAGCATGATGAGGTAGGAGGAGAGTGCAATTTTAAAGCTTTTTTTTTTTTTAAAGTTTTTTTTAAAAAGCTTTTTAAAGCTTTTTTTTAAGAAAGAGTATTTATGTTGCAAATAATTGCTATGTATTCTATTGAAAATCTTCATGTACCAAAAGAAAGGAGCATGTATTACATAAAGCATGTATTGATCGCTGCAGATCGACCTGGAAGCTGAGACAGTGAGCACTGTGGCTGGCATCGGGATTCAAGGCACAGACAAAGAAGGCGGGGCCAGAGGGGAGGAGCAGCCCATCAGTTCCCCCTGGGATGTCGTTTGGGGATCATCAGGTATGTAAACTTTTAATATAAAATATAAGTTAACTTTGCTTACTAACAGTAAGATTTTTAAAATATTCTGGGTCGGTTCATTTGGATTACTTCTGTTGCTAGTGATTTTATACTTTTATGCCTATGGCTTGGGATTTGTTGGTTGTGTGAAAGTAAAGCCAGCAGTAACGTAAACAAGATAGAGTATGTATTATTATATACGTGTACTACTAAATATTATATTTTATTCACATGATGAGTATATACTACTCTAAATTAATGTTAAAGAATCTCAGCTTAGCCACAGCTTCCAATTAATGTAGTTCTGAATATTCTTAATTTAGAAGTATTATAGTTTCAGAAGTTCAAAAGATTATTTGTGAACTATACCATTTAACAATGCCCTTTTAATTTTAGTTTGAAAAGAAGTTTATAAAATGACAGTTGTTTTTTAGATTATTAAAATTTGTATTGAAACATGATAGCTTCTTTTGAACAATTAAAAAAATATCACTTTACCCTACTGAATTTTGTAGATGCTAATAATGAATAAGATTGACGTTATCTTTACAATCTTTATTACCTACATTAATTGACTATAAGGTGACCCGGGGCATAAGTACTTAGTTTTTTACTGGCCCCCAGTGATATTGAGATGGTTATCTACATGTCTAAAGCCAGAGTAATGAATAAAGTAAGTTGGTCAGATATACTGGGAATGGAATTTGGAACTGAATGGTTTGTATGGTCTTAATATATTTATAGAGTAAATAAGTATCAGTTTAGTTGAATGGCTTTACATTTGAGATAATTTTCTATTATGATGCCAATTTGCTTATAATTCAAAGACCTTAATTTTTTCATTGTAATTAATATTCATAAAATAACTGAACTTTTGGTACTACCTGTACTTAAGATATATAACTTAGGTAATTTTGCAGAAGTTTTTTATTAGATTTTTGTTTCTGGAGTTCTGTGTTTTAATCATCGTAGTGGGAAGGGGCTGGGGAGATGAGCTTAGAGTATGTCCCAAGTGCAGTCACCCAGGGAGTAGATTACACACAGACAGTCTGAACCAGTGGGGAAACTAACCACAACTCAGTCGTCTTTTTATCACCAAGCACCAGCAATTCTAAGTAATTTCAGTTTCAGTGTAAAAGTATTCATCCCCACTAGGACTTAACCATTCCTGCCTCCCTGCTGCTGAGCTATTTCAACATAAATCTTAGAGATGGAAAAATAATCCGAAGCATTCCTATCAGTAAAATAGTCAAAGTGGATGAGAATTGTTACTTTGATGTGCTGTTACCTTCCCCACGGAAAAAAAATGTCTGCCCTTAGTGTGTGAGCCCTCAGTGATCCATAGCTACAAGTCCATATAGAATTCAGTTATTGATTTTTACATTTTGCAACTTACTGCATCTGTCAGTAACAGCTACAGTCATGCCTCATAAGAAATCTTCCCCAAATTCATACAAACCTAAACCTTTATTTCTCAATCACATATGGGCTTGGGGTTCAGCTGACCCAGGCAGAGCCTGGGCTTGGTTTCAAGGTGTTTCTTGGGTACACATCTGCTCCACTGGGTTCTCCTCCTCCTTGGACCAGTAGCCTCCTGAGCATATTCTTTGGCAAAAGTCAGGAGCATAAGAGAGTAAGCCGAGTTACACATTGTAAGCCTTCGCTATGTCGTATCTGCTGACCTGCCGTTATTAAAGCAAGTCACATAACCAAGCTCAGAGTGATGGAGCAGGGATAGGCATCTTGCCTGCAGTGAGGCCGTGTCAAAGGTGTGGATATTAATACTGCTACACAGCAGTAAAGAATTGAGACCAGTAATTCAGTTTGTCACATATATCAGAATTTACATTGTTAGTAAATTGGATGCTTTTCTAAGTTTTATTTAATGGCCAAGGAATGCTTATTTTTCTAGGCTAAAAGTTTTTCAGTCATACTTTATAGCATGGGATTTCTGGCTGTTTGTCTTGTATTGAGAATGCACCCAAATTGCTTTCCAAGGAAAATCTTGGCTCTATTGACAAGCAGTCCCTCAGCTTCCAGCTGGAGCATGACATGCTATCTGAGGCTTGTGTCATTATAAAGCTCAGTTTTCAGTACAGGAAACGAGTCCTGCCTTACTTAGCTTAGCAGATCATTATAAGCATGTGGCTCTTCTTTAACTTACAGCTTAAAATAGCTTCACTTCAGGTACTTGGCAAGAGGATGAGTAATCTTGAATGCACTTAAGCTCAACACCTTTCAAAATGTTGGCTCAGAAAAAGTTTTCCAAGCACTGTATGAAGGACTTAAAATCACAATGATTACTCTAGCCCAAGGGTTTGTACCCTTGATGGTTAGGCTTTGTAAGTTCCTTAAACTTCCCAGAAATTCTTTTTAAGGTTTAGAGGAATTGGTCAGGTTCTCATCCGAGTTTCAAAGCATTATGTTACCCAAAAATATTTTAAGAGCTACTAATTTAAATTACCTTAAAATCTATTGTATTTTGAATCCATTGCATTATAAATCTGTTGAATTAATGTATTGTCAGAGTACGAGAAAATTAGATCAGAATATTTGCTCTCCTTACAGCTGTTTTTACTCAAGTATATTTTGGCAACTTGTTATTCATTGAAGAATATATGAACACATAAAATCACATTCACTTATATTTATATGTTTGTATATATGTTTCATAGTATGTATTTCATCAAAACATAGCCCTTGGGACTTGTTCCTGTTTTTACTATAAGATTTGCTGGCGATTTCAGTTATTGCCTTATAAATAACCTCTCTGATTACTGACTGGAGACATTTTTTTCTGATCTCAGTATTATAGATAGTTAGACCTTTTCCTCACTGTCAAGTTTTGTTTTTAAGCTCCTAGAAAATTTAAATGTCATAAATGATTGTGTTTTCATTGTTGTATCGAAGGCTAGGAAACTGAGACAAATGTATCTTTAGAGACTGGTAATGGAAACATGACATTCAGTTTTTAATAATAGTATAACTTCGTCTCTGTTTTCTACCTTGTTTACCTATTGCTTCGATTTTCATACTGATGTCAAATGCATTTATCTTATTAGGGTTTATTTCTTGATCAGTTAACTGAATCCTTTGTGTAATAAAAGCAGAAGTAAATAGCCCTGGCTGATGTGACTCAGTTGGAGCATCATTCCGTAGACCAAAAGGTCGCAGGTTCGGTTCCCAGTCCGGGCATGTGCCCCGGTTGTGGATTTGAACCAACAAATGAGAACCAGCCAGTCACTGTTTCTCACATCAATGTTTCTCTCTCCCTCCCTCCCTGCCCCTCTTACTAAAATCAATAAGCATGTCCTTGGGTGATGATTTAAAAAAAAGTAGAACTAAATAAATACAGTAGAACTCCTACTGAAGTGATTAGCTATGATAATTGATATGTTAGGGAAAAAATCTATTAAATCAAAGTCATAAAACTAAAAATGTTTAAGAACTAGAAGTGTACAATTTTTAGCCAATCTTTGATGTAGGATAACCCCTAATACAAGTTTGACTTAGCTACATTTCTTTGAGTCTTTCCAAAGTTTTCGACTTCATTTTCATAGAAACAACTTCCTTTTTGCATTCATGTTGGGCTGGTTCATACAAATTTAAGTTGCATAACTGTATAACTGGTTTGAACATGTGGGATTAAACCCAATTTGAAGGGGGTTATGGCTGAGAAAAACTGTTCTTGTAACTACTTAAGTTTTTTAATGTTTTAAGAATTTGATAAAATGTTTCTGAAATTCTACCATAGTTGGGAATTTAAGAGTGGCATTATCAGGAATAAAACATGAAAACATAGGTCAGGTATTGTGATAGCTTCATACATTAGGCTGTCCTACAATGCAAATAATGAACCATAGCTGTACCTAGCAGCATGGACAAGTACCAGGAGGAATCCACTGCGTTATAAAAGCAAGTTCCAGAAGGTACCTACAACAGGATTTCCTTTATAGAAAGTTTAGTAGCAAGCAAGACTAGTTATACATTGAGAGATCAATCCAGATATAGTGAAACTAAAAGAATAAGAAAGTGGAAAAAAAGTTCAACTGGTGGTTCCTTCTGATAAGTCAGAGAGATGCACAAATGTTTTCTTTCTTGGGATAAGTGGTGTACATGCAGATGTTTAGCAATTATTTAAACTTTATAACATGTATCCATTTATATGCATATTTAATTAAAATTGAACCGTAAAAGGAAGCAAAATAGATTAAAGAGAACAAAAAATAACAAGCACTAATGCATAGTTAAATATATACCCTAAGAGACCCAGTTACTAAACAAAGGGACTTGAAATACCTCTGATTATTTGAAACATACATGTAATATATAAATGCATTTGTGTATGTATTTTAAATAGTGTCTGAATATTTAACCTAATTATGCCATTATAATGATAAAAGCATAAAAATAACAAAGTGATCTTTACAAAAGTGATTATTTCATCTTTGTTGATTTTGATTATCACTCAAAATATGGTAAGAACTACATAATGCACTGAAAGTAATTACCAACTACAGTAAATTCATTTTTTCAATAGAAACCCTGTCATGTTTCTAAAATGCATGACTCCACTCATGCCAGACAATAACCTGAGAGATTTTGTTTCATAAAGTTCAAAACCCCCACTATTCTCTAGGTAGACTTCACCTGATTTAGAATCATTTATAGAAAGGATAGTGTGCCCGGATCCCATTAACCTTCACTGGCCTTTTAATCAGTATTTCCCCTAGACAGATATTTAGCTGTTCTTATACAACCTTTTATGATCGAAACTCAACCATTTCATAGGCTAGTCTTACAGTCTACAGTGTTGGTGCTTATGTGCTTAGATGATGTTTCACAGGGTTCCATTAATATGCTATAAGATACCATAAAAACATCCTCTAAAAATCAGATGGTACAGAATTTTTGAGGAATAATTTATACAGTGTGACCGATGTATTTTTATTTAATTAAAATAAAAGCAGTTGTATTTTTATGTCTAAAATTTGAGAGAT